CCGTGATAGCCCTCGCTAATTAAAAAAAACCGCTGTTTGCACCAGTCATGTTTTTTTTTTTTTTTTTTTTTTTGGTAATTAACGCTTTAGTTAGAGCCTCATTGTGTTTATGTGAACCCAAAACTTGAAGGTTGATGGCTCTTATCTCTCTGCTGAAGGGCCTCATTTGGGTTAATCTTCACCTGGCAGAGACGACACTGCTTGTTAAGCAGGTGACTATATGCGCACTGTAGACTTGTATGTGTGCCTATGTGTAAGTGTGTTGTGTGCTTGCGTTGAAACTCACTGTTAACGATGGCAGTAGGCAGGATGGAGGCCATTGCAGCCTGCTGTGGCAGGAGCTGGATGCTGTCCAGCAGCCGAGCCGGGTACATGCCCTCGCTCAGTGACATGTGGTTCACTGGCTGCAGCCGTGAGTCAAAGTCCACTGCAAATGCCACCAGCTCTTCGCCCTCCATCATGTTCTTGGTAGTGGTGCACCACAGTTGGCCACCTGCACAAAACGGAGATGCAGGACACAGTTAGGTTTGCTGTGACAAAAGATGAAGTCAGACAGTGTTTTCATCTGAGTTTGAACCAAAATAAGTTGTGGTTTTGTAGTGATTTTCTTGTCTTTTTTCTTCTACATGCTGCACAGGCAGCATACTCTACTTCTACTACTATGTAGTTTAAAAATGTTTTTCTTGAAGGAAACCGTTATATTTTAGGTAAATAAACGGTTTCAGATGTACAGTTAACTTTCCTCATCTTCCTATTTGGTTTGCAAAATTGTTGGAGTTTGCTGTACTCGTGAGTGCGGAGGCTGTGTTTTTGTAGTTAAACTGAACCTCTCAAAGGTAATCTTCCCTCTGTTGCCACTGAAATGTCTTTTTAGGCCACTGATGTTCGTATCAAGAAGCAAAGCAAATCTCTGCTGGGGTAAACTGTACCCTACAGTGCTGTTCTCAGCTAGAACACAGAGACAGGTCCTTCACATCATTAGATTGTTGTGTTTTGGGATTAAGCATTCCTCTGAAATCTTCTGAACACATTCATTAAGTCAGAGAAAGGGAGAGCGGGAGGGAGGTGATGGTAGCGGAAGAGAGTGAAGGTTTTAGCTCAGATAATATTTATCTCAGCACATGACAGGCTTTTCAGCTGCACTTCATTTTCCACTGAAGAGATTAAAGTTTTTAATATGACTATTTACAGAAATCTGGTCGGGGAGATAACAACAAACTGTGATACACTCCCGCTAAATGGCAGAATTAGGACATTGTTTCAGAGGAAAGCTGGACAATTAATTAAAGCACGCTGTTAGCTTTCAAAGATGTGCAAACACACCGACAGTGTTGGGCTGAGAGGGACGGCCCCAACTGATGTAAATTAAAGAGAGTCCTCAGCAGAGGTGAGAATACTGAGGGGTGAGGTTGGAAAGCACAACCTGCCTCCCCCAAATACAGCACATACAGAACCCTGAGTACTCCTGTTTAACAAAGTCTTTAACAGTCTTTAAAATGGCTGTGTTAATATGGTAACTGTGATGGTGGGGAGTGTTTTTTAGAAACTGTTCCATTCATTAGATATTTATTTTAGTAATAGAGAACCTCACTGTTGTTGAGCTGTAATCATGAGATGCCTCAAGCTTCCGATTCAGAACGAAGTATTTCAGATTTCACGTCACATCTTTGATTAAACACCTCTCTGGCCTCTTTGATGCACTGTTAATTAGACCAGTACAAATGTGTCAAAGGTCCCTCCTTTGACACATTTGTGACATTAAAATGACATTAAAACGTGCCGTCTCTCAAAGTCCAACTAGTGTGTGCACCTCAGTGTGTGTGCGTGCCTGTCGGAGAATGCGCACGCTGCCACCATTTTAAAGAGCAGCTCCTATCTGTTGGCCAATCTGCCGTGACAAGACACACACTCTAGGCTGCTCCACTTCATCGTTTTGATTCTGTCATACCACACACTGCCTGGAGAGGCCCCTTTGAATTTTTATCTCCTAATTAAAATAACAAAACTCCTCTCCACTGTCTGCTCCAGTTAGCATCAAGGTAGATACAAACTGCCACTGACAATGGCAGGGAATATATCACAGCCGCAGCCACAAAAGTTCCTCTTCCTCCTTTTACTGGTCCCTCAGTTCAGACACACTTAACTCACAGAGAGAATTATGAAGTAGGCTCCCCAACACTTTGATACCAATCAGCGTTGTTGGTATCCAACTCAAATCAAAGATGTGTGTCAGTGTGTGAAGTGAAGCAGATTATGAGGAGTCTGATGAAAATGTTTCACTGCAGTTTGACAGCAGAATCTCCACTCAGATTGCAGCCCTTCAGCCAAGAATGCTACAGATCCATCTGTTGTGTGTGAGAAAGCTTGGAGTGAGTTTAAGGACTGCGTGTCCCAGTTTTACTGAGACACACAAAACACTGAGGCAGCACTTTTCCACTCACAGTCACTCAACCACGACCGGCTGCCATGTGATCTGGCTGCAGTTTGGACGGTCAAACCAGTTGTTCCTTATACATCAGGGTTGTGACCTGCATATTAGATCTGAAGCGCTCCACTGGTTTGGTCTCCGTACGGTTGATTTGGTTTATAATATTTCCCTGACAAAGCTGTTGGTCTCAGTTGGTAGTTTAACTCTTTTTTTGGAACATTGTGTCAACTTCTATATTTTACACACATTCACAGAAGATGTGATGTAACAACGCTCCTCACGTGGTTGTTGGAAAATGTTTGTTGTGTGGCAGGGCTACGTTGTCCAAATGGATCATTTTTCCTCCCGTCCTTCAGCCAAGCACTCTATGTTCATCAGGCTTCTTTTCCTTATAGTTGGTTAAATGTTTCTGCAACAAAGTACTAGTTTTAACATAAGAAAGTTTTTCCATAGACCAGCAGTAGAAATGTGGGCGTGTGAGGGAAGGTCACATGCATAACAATAACCAATCAATGACATTATATGTCATTGATTATTGTACTGTATAACATTTAATTTAAAACATTCAAACATTACATTCACTCTGTTCAGCTTGGAACCAAATGATTCATTACTGATACAATACTGGTCCCCAGCCCAGTGGTTGGACACCACCTGCTCTATAGTCTACTTCCTCTGAATGTCCTCTTTTCTTTTATCCTAACTACTGTTAGTCTATTCACGTAAAAAAAATCGTAGTACTTGTGTTGTTGTTATTGTTTATTAAAATAATCTGCTTAACATTTATCATAAAACTCCACTTTAATTGTCAAGAAACAAATTTAATTTAAATTCACTATTCTGTTTCTGCCATTTCCTAAATACTGTAGTAGTAATCCACATTCTAAAAGGAAAGGACAAGAATACAAGTAGGTGTAACTTAACATCTGCACATAAACAAATGCCAAACTCTGTATATATGCCTACAGTGCATCTGTGCATACATACAGAGCAGCTCGCGGGAACACATTTCACACGCACATATAGAAATGCAAAGCCGTGGTGGCTGATTATTCTGAGGCATCAGGTGTTTTATGAGGAAATCTGTTCCAGGAAGGAGCTGTTTGAGAGATTGGTCGAGGCTGTTTACTTCTGACAGCCATTTAATGGCGTGTAGACACGTGTTAGTCACCTCTGATGACCCGCTTCAAAGAGTGATGGGGGTCGAGGTCATTGGTGAAAAAAAAGTGGTAAAAGTAGGCAAAAAAGCAGGGGAAAAGTGGAGCTTGTGATTTGCACTTGTTTTCCTGCTAACTGTCTGCCGTGAGCTGCCTTTGTGCAGTGGCCAATACAGTTGGAATGAAGGCTATTGTCTAAATCCTCCTGCAGAGCACCTGATAAAAGAATAAAGAACTATGACATATTCTAAAAACAATGGAGGAATTAAGGGGAGACAATAGGCCAGCTGCCTCATTAAAACAATCAAAAAACGTCATCCTGTATGTAGTCCAGATAATTAAAAACCCACTGCATCCTGCAGTCTCTCAGTACCATATCCACCGGCTCAGTGAGGCCCTGAGACCGTGGCTCTGCTGGCTAAATGCCCTCTTCCCTCTCTTTTCTTTTTGATTAATGGTTTATTTGAACGTGCAGTTGAAGATGAACATATGAAGGAATTCATGAAATGAAATTACGATGCAAACGTGCTGTGCTCCCCCACACTACTCCCCCACCCTTCACCATAAGGACTTATAAACTAATCAAATGTCTCAGGATGAGTGGCGAGGACCCTGGACTTTGTGTTCCCTCCCCTTTTTGCCTGAAGCCCAAAGAGATTTCAAAGGGCAGGCATCACAGGGTTTGTTTTTTTCCTTTTTTTAAAAAAAATTCTCACTTTAAATTACCTTATAAGAAAATGCCTGTGTACAGTATCTACAGTATGTATTTGTAGACCAGACTGGGAGAGTAGAGCACATATGAGATTCTTAAGGAGGTTTTTTTTTTTTTTTGCACCCTGAAAACCACCATCGCCACAACCTCCGCTGCCGCCATATCTTAATGAAGCCACAAACAAATCTCTCATGCCTCGTGCAAAAGCTGAGAGACAACAAAGCAGCAGAAATAACAGAAGGGCCCGGATAATTAAACTGGCCTGAAGACAGGTATTCAAATGTTGGTGTGTAAACAGCACAACTCTTTTAATAGTTTAGCTGTAAAATGCGTAGTTAAGCACATCAGCACTCGCCTCTCCCATCTGTCCAAACACATTACCGTTGCAGAGGCCATTACAGCACTGAAGTACAGTCCCTCTGCACCACCGACGTGGATTATGGGAGGGGTTGAATGGATGCTTTAGTGAGGACTCACACTGGGCCGTTGGCAGCATCTGAATGCATCGTGGGGCCCTGTATCACACAGCATCACATTGCACTTTGAAAAATAGGATGTTGATGCGGAAACTTCTTCCTTTCCTTGGCCTCCTTACGCCTTTGTCTCCTCGTCTGATTGGCTGTGCGTGCTAACTGCCAGCTCCTAATTGTGAAGTGAGGCCAGTGACGCCTGAAGGAACAAGAGAGGCTTAATAATTATGTCTTCCACTCAGCTCCTAACTTCTCCCGGTCACAACCAAAGCAGACTCCTCGCACCTACGAATATCAAGTAGCTGCGTGATGTTAACCAGCGAAGCTTCATCCCACGAGGAGTAAATGACAGCGAGACACACACGTCAAATTCCCTGTCAACCTCAGTGGATCCTGTCAAAATATTCAATCACAACTCATGGGCGGATGGATAAATATCTGTATCTGCACCTGTCGGTTCTGCTGCAAATACTAAACAATTCCTCCTCATGAATGCCGGTAAACATTTGCTCTGTTTTCCGGATCACTGGACGTGGACACATTAGGATGTTTGTCAAGTCACAATCCCAGGATAGAGGGTAAAAAAAGCAGCCGAGAGAAAATAAAAATGCTGAGTGAGACGCCAGTCTGCACATCACTCACTGGGTCAAACAAGCCTTATATTATTGACGGCACACTAAACTAAAATTAGCTGACTCTACTGTTATTACAGCAAAGTAGTGGAAA